AGCAGTTTTCCTCTTTTGTAAAATTTATTTTTTCTCCTTCTTGGCCTTTCTCTCTCGTTCTCTCTCTTCCCATCTCAGTTGGAGTTTTGCTGTATCATTCTTAAACTTGCCAACAGCATGTGCCTTGAATCATGCCAATTTTCAGCCTCAAAAAGAAAAAGGTGCAAACTTATAATTTTCTGAACAAGGATAGAACACTTTCTGCATTTCCGCAAGATCCATAAGACACTCCCCATGAGAATCATAATCAAACATTATATGTTTTGGGATCATACCTCAAAACTGAAACTGCATTTTATAATGTTTACTGCATTTGTATTTCAACTATGTGCAAAGTAGTATGAAGACTGCAAAATACATTAAAAATAGACATACCTCATGACTTGGCAAATCCTCTTGTGTATGTGCTAAAGAAGATAAATCACCGCCTCATAAACACACTTGCACTCCCATGTTCTTTGCAGCACTATTCACAATAATCCAGATGTAAAAGCAACCTCAGTGTCTATAGGTGGACAAATAGATAGAGAAAATGGAATCCATGTATGCAATAGAATATTATTTAGCCATCAAAATAATATTTTGTCATTTGCAACAATATGAGTGGAACTGGAAGTGTTTATGTTAAGTTAAATCAGCCAAGAAAGAAAGACAAATATTGCATCTTCTTACTTTTATGTCAAAACTGAAAGAATGGATCTCCTGAAGACAGAGAGTAGACTGTGGTTATCAGAATCCTGGATGGATGGAAGAGAGAAGAGGATGAAGAGAGGTTGATTACTGAATGCAAACATACAGTAATATAGAAGAAATAAGACCTCAATGTTTGATAGATCAGTAAGGTGACTATAGGTAACAGTAATCTAATGTGCACATTAATAGCTAGAAGAGAGTCATTCAAATGTACTTAGCATAAAGAAAAGACTCATGTTAAATGTGATAGATATACCAGTCCTGAACTCATCTTTACACACTTATGAATGTATCAATGTATTACATGTTCCCATACAATAGGTATATCAGATATATGCCAATGCAATAAATAAAAAATCTCAATGGCGTGTTTTACAAAAATATTTTAAGAAGCTCCGCTTTATATAAAAATACAAAAGCCTTCAAAGAACCAAAGTAAATTTGGGCAAAAATAACAAAGATGAATATATCATACTCTATAATTTCAAAATAAAATCTACATAAATTAAAACAGTATAATGCTGACATTAAAACAGACACATAACCCAATATAAAATTACAAGCAACCTGGAAATCAACCCATTTCTTCCCAAGAAACTGAACTTGCCAAGAAGAAACAAGTTGCCAAGAACTCACAATAGAGAAAGGACAGTCCTTCAGCAAGTGGTGTGAAAACTGCGCATTCGTATGCAGAAGAAAAAAGATGGACCTCACCTCACACGACACACAGAAATCAGGTAGAAATGGCTTCGAGACATAAACATAGACCTGAAAATGTGGTTCAAAGGTGTCCATGTATGGTTTTGAACAAAGTATAAATTAGTACACTCATCATGAAAACATGAAGATTACTCAGTGACTCCAACACAGAGTATAGCCATTTCTGAGAATACATCTAGAGAAAATACAGTGAGTGTGACAAATACATGTTCATTGTGAGATTATGCATAACAGCCTAGATTTGGAAAATAAGTCAATGTCCATCTATGAATAAACAGATAAATGTGGCTTATACTTACAAAAAGTTGAATATTATTCAGCCTTTAAAAACAAGGAAATTCTGGGTATGGTGGCGCGT